ACCCATACGACTGTCAGCTGATTTCTCAACAAAAACTATGCAGGCCAGAAAGGAGTGATAAGAAATATTCAAAGTGATGAATAGCAAGAACCTACAACCAAGATTACTCTACCCAGCAAAGCTATCATTCAGAATTGAAGGTCAGATAAAGAGCTTCACAGACAAGAAAAAGCTAAAGGAGTTCATCACCGCCAAACCAGTATTATATGAAATGCTGAAGGGTAGTCTTTAAGAAGAGGAAGAAGAAGAAAAAGGTAATTAAAAAAGAAGAGCACTGTCTTTGGATTTAGACCAACTTGCCTGGGTACAAATATTTGTTCAGAGACTTGCGAGCTTGTGTTCTTTCTCTGAGCCTTAGTTTCCTAATATATAGGAAGGGAACAACAGTAGTATCTACTTCATAAAGTTGTGAGGATGAAATACATCCATGAGTGTAAAGCACTAAGCAGACTGGCAACCATATAATAAATGTTTAATACATTTTAGCAATTATAAGTATACTGCCTGTCTCCTAAAGTTGCCTTAGAGTTAATCATGATAATGCATATACATCCCAGAGCACAGTGTTCGGTACATACTTGTTCATTAAATTTATTCCCTTGTTCATTAAATGATTACCAAATGATTATTTATTACCAATGATTTCATTCTTATATTTCTTACCTGACTAGAATGTAAAGAATGTACTTTGAGCCCTGGCCAATGTGGGTCAGTGGTTGAGCGTTGTCCCATGCACCAAGAGGTCACTGGTTCGATTCCCTGTCAGGGCACATGCCTGGGTTGTGGACTTGATCCCCAGTAGGGGGCGTGCAGGAGGCAGCTGATCAATGATTCTCTTCATTAATGTTTCTATCTCTCTTTTGCTCTCTCTTCCTCTCTGAAATCAATGAAAATATAAAAATAAAATAAAAATAAATCTTAATCTTAAATGCCTAATGTATTTTTTATACAATTCACAAAATTGTGCACATTCACAAAATTATGCCACCAAATGAAACTTCATATTCATTATTAGTCATAAATAGATAGATAGAGCACCTTTTCAATGGAGGTACAATAAAATTGAACTTTCCCAATTCCAATGTCACAGGGAACATTAGGACTTCTTGAATAGTTTCAGAAAAGGCCATAGAATACATCTCATGATGATTTCCCAAATTCCTTAAATTTATTTTTTTCAAAGGATTTTTTTCTAATTATGAAAACACTACATTCCCATTTTAGAGAACTGGAAAATGAGAAAAGTACATGCAAGATAATGACATCTGTAGTATTTCTACCTTCTATATAACTACAAATTGTGTTTTAGTCTCTAACTTGGTATTTAGCCTCCCTGATTTGTTCTTTTTTATACAGTCTTGTCACTTTATGTTTTTGTTTAAAATAATGCTATGAGGATGAAAGAATGTTACAGATATTTTAAATAGTCATATCAAATGAAGCCTGATGTATAGCAATGTCATAGCTTTCTAGAAATCAACCTAAACTAAAATTCCCTTTTCCCCTTTACATTGTATTACAGGAAGAGGCTGCGAAGATCCTGCTGGCTGAATTCAACCTGGGCTGTGATGTGCATCACACTGAACATGTGTATAGGGTTTACGTCACCACCTTTTTGGGTTTTGGGGGCAACTTTGCCCGACAGCGCTATGAAGACCTTGTGCTGAATGAAACGCTTAACAAAAACAGGTACGTTTGACATGGGGTCTGTGCTTCCGAAATAGAATGTTGTCAGATTGCAGATATTAGAAATATTCATATCCTACTAAGATACGTCCTTGCTTTCTTCTTCCTGACCAGCCCTGCCAATGGGGTAGTATCTCGTAGAGACCCTCTGGTAGTTGATCTGGTAGTTGAGACCCTCTGGTAGATGATCTGGGTGAGAGTGCATTCTAATCTTTGTTACATAACAGGATCCATAAAAAAGTACAGCAGCTTATTGTGGTGACCTCTTGCTGTGTCTCACTTCAGACCTCATGGGATTGAGATTAAGTTGTTAATTTTAAATGTGCAGTATAATATAGATTCTAGCAGTTCCTTATACATGGAAATGCTCAAGACATGCTTGCTGAATTACAGTGTAGTTGCATGTTTTGTGGGAGTTAGGTTCTGTAGTGTGCTTAAAAGATAAAAAGCATGTGTAGTCAAAATTAACCTTTAAGTTATTCTCTTGTTATTTCCAGAATGACAGGTTTCCTTCAGCCTGGACCAGATCACTGATTTTTTAAAATTTTATTTGAGTACCAGATAAAGTAGTTAGGCCATAATGTACAAACAATTGTGGGTTTCTTTAGCATTAAAAATTATTTTATAGTCCTAGCCGGTTTGGCTCAGTGGATAGAGCATCAGTCTGCAGACCAAAGGTTGCAGGCTCCTCCCCGGCCCAGGCCTTGGCAGGGCTCATCCAGGAGGCAACCAATCAATGTGTTTCTCTCACATCGATGTTTCTGTCTTTCCCTCTCTCTTCCACTCTCTAAAAATCAATGGAAAAATATCCTCAGGTGAGGATTAACAACAACAAAAATAATAAATAAATAAATAAAACATTTAAAATTATTTTACCATTCTGCACATTGAAGGAAAGCATAATAGATGGCAGTTCTTTTCACCATACAATTATTTACCCCCATTTGTTTAGCTAGAAACACTACTTTGAAAAGGTATTGATATATCCCATTTGTAGAAGTACTGGTATATGTTAGTTTTCTACAGCTCTAAATTATGTTGGGAGCATGTTAAAAAATATTGTCTCATAAATCTTTAAAGTTTTTGTAAGAGTTCAAGAAGTTTTGGGAGAATCCTGTTAATCCTGGATACTTGATAAATGCATTGAAATTAAGCAGTGTGTTTGTATTCTGAAAATACTCTTAAATCCATACAAATGTTACTTGGGTTATGGAGCTCAGGTCACTCCTGCTGGCACTATGACATCTGAACAATTATTATGAAAGTTTCACACCAATTTTGTTTTGTTCCTTCTTCGTTAGTCACTGTGCTTCCTTTTCCATTTTCTTCCTTTGTTGTTCTGCTGCTCTTTTTTTCTGCGTCTGCTGTTTTCTACCTCAGACTTTGCCAGGCTGCATCGTCTTCCCACACATTGGCATTTTCTTGCCATGTATCTAAGTCATCTACTGGTAATTCAGATAAGCGATTATTCACCTTGTGTGGTTGCTAATCTATCAGAGAAACCTGTGCTTCCTGAGATGTCAAAACTTCCTGGTTCTATCTTCTTAAAACAATTTTCTAAGTTTTCCTTATAGTTAGTGTCACATCCCTAAAATAGGCTCCAGTTGCCCAAGCATTTTGTTGTGTTGCCACATTCCCATTCTCTTTTTCAGTCTTTATCCTTGTGTGTGCATCCTCATCTCAGGAAGTCCACTCTTCATGTCTGTCTGCTTAGGAACTGATGCATAGTTAACCACAGTTGGCAGTTACTTGGTCTGCACTTAATTTTCATCCCTGCCAAGATCTACATTTTAAAAAAAAATGTTTTTGTTGATTTCAGAGGAGGAGGGAGAGGGAGAAAGAGATAGAAACATCAATGATGAAAGAGAATCACTGATCAGCTGCCTCTACTGGCACGCCCTCTACTGGGGCAGGAGCCCACAACCCAGGCATGTGCCCTGACCTGGAATCGAACTGTGACTTCGTGGTTCATAGGTCAATGCTCAACCACTGATCCAGGCAAGATCTGCATATTAATCTCCTCAGGAATGAGAATACTGTCGCTCTTGGCAAGTATAGACTTTAACCAGAACTGTGTGAAGGCCCTTCCCTACCCAGTCACAGCCAGGCATGTGTACCTCACTATTGCCAGCCATTTAAAAAAAAATTCTCACCTGAAGATATGTTTTTCATTGATTTTAGAGAGAGGAAGGGAGAGAGAAACATTGATACAAGAGAAACATCGATTGGTTGCCTCCTATACATGTCCCTTCAGTGTATGGGACGATGCTCCAACCAACTGAGTGAGGCACACCGGCCAGGGCACTATTGCTAGCCTTTGACACTGCACCCCTCCAGGTCCTCTCCTGAGGAAACTCCCCAGTCCCTCCCACTTCCCCTCCTTCCAGTAGTTCTTTTAAACATTAGAACCACACTAGGCAGGGTGAGATCTTTGCATTTTTAAGAGGCAAGTGGGAATGAAGACTGGATGGAGAATAGCAGATTCACATCTCCAGTTTTACTTTACACTGGGAAATACACATGTTGACTAAAAGGTTGAACAAAATTGATCACTGCCATATTTCTCTCTTTTTCCTTTTTTTTTGCTAAATTGAATTTGCTTAAATGAAATGTTCATGTGACTCAACTACATGGTAATACTCTATCCTCATTTCTGGGGAGGTCGTGCAAAAGAGCAACTAGGTATCCATGAAGCACATTCTTAAGCCAGGTTTCTTCAACTAGGCTTCTTAGAGTAGATTGAGTACAGTAGTGATGATGTGTTTTGTTGTCACTGCAATAGGTTGTTGGGCCAGAAGACAGGTCTGAGTCCTGACAGTCCATTTCTGGATCCTTGCCTGCCCGTGGGACTCACAGATGTGGTGGAGAGGAACAGCCAGGTCCTGCATGTCCGAGGAAAAGGAGACTGGTCGACTTGTGGGGCAATGCTGAGCCCCCTGCTGGCTCTCTCTAACACCAGCCAGGCCTCCCTGAATGGCATCTACCAGTCACCAATTGACTTCAACAACAGCGAGTTCTACGGTTTCTCTGAGTTTTTTTACTGTACGGAGGATGTGTTGCGCATCGGTGGCCGCTACCATGGGCCAACATTTGCCAAGGCTGCTCAGGTAAATTATTAATAAGAAAGATGACTCAGGCCACCAGTGGCTATTCATTAGATGCCTAATTTTGCTCCAGGTGCTATGCAAAGAGCTTTACATGCATGGTTTCACTTGACTCTTTACAGGAGCCCTATGAACTCTGATTTTACAGGTGAGGAAGTATAGTATTTAGGGGAATTAAGGAATTTGCTATGCTATACTACCTTCAATTAGTTAAGCTTAGCTTCCCAGTGTCCTCTCAGCCAAAGTATCACCCAGCTCCAAAATTGTTGTGGCAGCTAATAGTTTTCCTCTAACTCACCAATAGTCTTGTTTAATGTTTGTGGCCAAGTAGTATCATCTTTAGATATTTTTCCCTACTGGGTGTTTCCAGTTGTAATGTGCTTTTGGAGATGATGTCACACAAGTGGACAAGTCCATTTTCACTTTCTTGGTTTGAGCTATTAAAAAGTTGAAGTGGTACACGGTCACTGAGAATATTATTAGAAAGATGTGAAAATGTGCAATGATGGGGGAAGTATTCTTTAAATTTAAATTCACTTTGAACATATATAAGACTCAAGCATCCTATAGGCTTAAATCATTAGTTACCTGGACAGGTGAAAGTTCAACTAGCTTTCTTTAGTTCCTGCTTTAATTTAGATTCATCACTTTGAATTTTTGTGTAGAGTTCTCTGATCTCTTTCTTAGCAGAGAAATTTATGGGAAGAAGCTGTTCTCTCTTATATTATTTATCTTTTCCTTCCTGCTTTCTTATAATTCTCTAGGGTTCTCTTGGTGGAAGACTTCCAATGGAAGAATATGTGTACTATTCTGTTCCCTAAAGGCAGTCCTTAAGAAATATTGAGGAAAACCTGGTTCATGTTTGCTTTGTCCTCTCCAGTCTCCAGGATTACCCTCATATTTCCTTTTCTTTCCCAGGGTCCAAGGGCTCCCTAACTGTCCATGGCCTGAATCTTTCTCTCATTTTAAAACTTCAAATTTTTTCCCCTTGACCACTGCTTGCCCAAGTTGGTAGTGGCTTAATATGTTCTCTTTCCCAGGTAAAAAAGATGATTTTATTTTTATTCCCTTATTCTTTTTCACTTTGACTCTTATTTTATCTTCCCGATGATACCTTCCCTGGCCACCACAGCCAAAATTGCAGGCCTCCCCAATATTACCTATTTCCTTTTCCTGATTTATTTTTCCTGTGAGCATTTATGTCATTTAACACATTCTGTACGTGTACATGTGTACGTATGTATGTATATTTAGTTACTAGAGGCCCGGTGCATGAAATTCTTGCATGGGAGGCGGTGAGGGGGGGGCCCCTCAGCTCGGCTTGCACTCTCTCACAATCCAGGACCCCTCAGGGGATGTCTGACTCCTGGTTTAGGCCTGATCCCGCATCGGGCCTAAACCGGCAGTCGGACAATCCCTCTCGCAATCCGGGACTGCTGGCTCCTAACTGCTCGCCTGCCTGCCTCATTGTCCCTAACTGCTCGCCTGCCTGCCTCATCGTCCGTAACTGCTCACCTGCCTGCCTCATCGCCCCTGTTTCTGCCTCAGCCCTGCTCCTGGGGCTTCGTCCGGAATGATGTCCGGAAGGTCGTTCGGCTGTCTGGTCTAATTAGCATATTATGCTTTTATTATTATAGATTGTCTCCCACCACTAGAATGTAAGCTTCTGAGAAATGAAGAAATTCAACAGAAATTTTTGTCTGTTGTATTTACTGCAGATCCCCTGGCACCTGGAATAGCACCTGGCACATAGTGGACATTCAGGAAATGTTAGTTTACAAACAAAGCAAAAGGAATGATTCCTTTGGTGAGAATTATCGCATGGAGGCAGTGCTAGGTGTTTGACGATTCTGTTCCATCTGCTCTACCTGCTCGTGTCAGTCCTTTGTAGAGTAGAATCATGCTCTCTTCGAGTTCTGATGTTGATATTTCTGGTCCTAACCTTACCCCTCTCTGAGGCCTACGAGGGTTAGGAGTCATCTCAGGCTGGCTTTGTACTGGACTTGGAGGTGCTAGGAATAAAAAGGAGTATTTCTAGCCCGAGTCCTGGGACTTGCGTTGCACAGAACCTGGCACAGTGTTCAGTGAATGAATATGCCATTTATGATTTCCTTTGTCAACTAGTAGCCCACAAGCCACTTTAGAAATGGAACAGCTGTGACTGTGGGGGAAGTTTATAGAGTTTGCCTCCAATTTCATGTTGCACAATTTCTCTGTGGTCATTCCAGGACTACTGTGGCATGGCTTGGTCAGTACTAACTCAGAGATTCAAGAATGGCCTTTATTCATCACATGCAGATGAGCATCGACTCAAGTAAGTAATTTCCTTTTCCCCCTTACATGTGGCCTTAAAATGTAGATAAAGTGTAATGAAGGAGAGCAAGTGAGCAATACTAGATTGGATTTTATGTTGAAGGAGAATTTGAATATATCAGATTTTGATTTTCTGAGTGATAGGGGCCGAATAATGAGCCTATTTTAGTAAGGCCAAGGGAAACCAGTGGTTACCAGAGTTCACACCAAGTGGTTTGAAATAAAAAGTGATGGCCTTTTTTTAAAAAAAAACTTTATTAAAATACAAAATATGCAGAAAAGTAGACATAACTAACATAAACCCTTATGTAACTATCACCCAGTTTCAACAAATGTCAGTTTGGTTCAGTGGTCCTCTCATTTTGTAAATATTTTAGTTTAAAATTTTAAACTCATGAACAAAAATAATACAATGAAATTCTGTGTACCTCTCCATCACCCAGCTTCTCTACTGGCCAATCTTGTCTCATCTATTTTCCCACCCACAACTCCCTTCTTGTCATAATTGGGTTATTTTGAAGCAAATCCCAAACTTCATAATTACATATGTAGATATTTCAGCATGTTGTCTGAAGATAAGAACTCTTAAAACAAAAAAGAAAGAAAAAGAAAAGAAAAACATAGCCATAATATTATTACTGCAGAAAGGTGTTCTTCACATTTGTGGTAAATGTTAAGTTAATTAGACTCAAATTTGGCTCCACCTAGCGGTGAGGAAGGTGAAGCTGGGAGAGAGATTTTTGACATCCAGTGGGAGTATGCAAAGGAAAGCATTAGAATTGTTTTACTTCTAATGTAAAATTTTATTGATGAGTTATTTTTGTCACACAGATATCAGTGTTTTAAATCGGCTTGGATGTACCAAGTCCTTCATGAAGGATTCCACTTTCCCTATGACTACCCAAACCTACGGACAGCCCAGCTGGTATATGACCGGGAGGTCCAGTGGACGCTGGGAGCCATTCTGTATAAAACACGATTCCTACCACTCAGGTAAGGTGGACTAACAAAGCTGGCGTCTTGAGCTCAGAATAGGTTAGTTAGTGCCTCAGAATAGGTTTCTTAAGCCACACCTCCCACAAACAAACAAGCAAGCAAGCAAGCAAACTCGCTTTATTCCTACCAGGTGGGCTGCTCTTACTATGTTGAAATAGAAAGAAGGTTGAGCATTATGGGTCTGGAGTCCGTTCCTCAGCTTTGCACTTTCAGAAATTCAGTTTTATTTGTTGATCCACCACAAATCAAACTTTAGGGTTGAGCTCTCACTAACCACTTCCAAGACACTGAGAAACTAAAACGGCATTCTTAAATTACCCTGGAAAACACATCTGACCATAAAACTGGGGTAGGCTGTCTGTCCAGAGCCATCTCTCCTAATGACCAGTGCCAGGCTAGAGATGGTGCCACTGCCTCGAAGGCTTTCGGTGGGCCCGAATTCCAGCAGAAGGTGCGAGATGCTTCGAGGGGGGAAATTTTCATCACACGATCATGGCCTGATGTCTTGCTGTTGTGAACCAGAAGGTATTTGGGATAATCTTTAGGTACTCTCTCCCTGGATTATTTCAAAACTAAAATGAATTCTTATTTTTTGATGCCTGTTTCACTAAACTCAGTACTGTCAAAAGCCTTGCAGGTGATAGAAGTCAGAGAAGTGGGGAGCTAGAGAGTGTGTGCCCTCCGAGAAGGGCTGGCCCCTGTCATGCAGAAGTGATGGCCCAGCATTTGCCACTTCTCATTTGTCAAGAGAAGCCAGAAGTCCAGATTTTATATGCAGTC